AAGTCTGTCTCCACCATGTGGCGCACTGCTGCATGAAGAGGTTTCGAAAGGAGAGCTTGGGCTCCAAAGACTTGGTAGTGTTGACCAAATTCATTTCGGCTGAAGGTAGACGGTGGTTGATGTTCTACGTCAGGGTTTCCATCTTCACGGGGTTTTCCCGCCTTCCCTGCTTCCAACAAGTAAACTCCTTTGAGGGCGGGGGTTAACTCATCACTTGTGGTGTGTGTGTAACNACTAGGTAATAGCCTTGGTAGACGCGTGCATTTTTCGTCTGTTGCTGCTGTTTCTGTTTTTTATCCGAAGGATAGTTTAGCCTCCCCCATGCTGCCCCCTCACGGGGTCCCAGTTCATGGTAGATAGAAGTGTTTTGTGTTTTCAACCGCACCAAGACTGACGTCTTTTCATTGGTCAGCCGGTTAGCGCGGTCGATGCTAATAATAAAAACACACACGGACATCAATTTGAGACCAGTAATTTATTCAGGGGTCGGGCTGACAGGCGGTGTTATTCAACGTGCGCAGAACCCAGGCGGGGAAACAAAAAGGACCCATCTAAAACAGTTTTTTTGCGACAATAAAACTCCGCTATCGCTCCGTTTTTTTTTCGCACGCGCGCTTCGCGCGCGGAAAAAACTCCTGTCATGCAGCAGAGTGTAACTGAGATTACTTCAGGGACTGTTACATGCTGAACCCTCAGCCGGATCCAGCGACACACATGCAGGTGCAGGCGTGTTGTGTGCCAAGCGTATATGACAAGCAGCAGCGGCTCGGAAAGATATGCGGAACAACTGCCAGATTTTTTTTTTGCAGCAGCAGATCTCCGCGTTGTTGTGACACATCGCAGTGCTGCTGGTACTTCGCCTACGAACCCACAGCAGCAGTCGGTACTGACACCACTTACACCCACTCACACCCACTCACACCTCAGCCCTTGCCCTAACTCACGTGTCTCATCCGTGTTGAGGATGTGTTCCGGCGGGAACTTGGTCTCCGCCAGGTACTCCACACACCTTGTAGAAAGCTTCAAGGCGAGGCTCGTCGTTAACCCCTTTGGGTCTAGTCTAGGTTACTCGCCAGCCGAACGGGTGGTTCGCAGGCCGCATGTTCCCGTTCGAAACATCCTCTTTGTTTTCACCATAAAAAAAAAATGCGGCGGGAGACAGTGCAGAGGGAGAGAGAAGTGCAGCAAGGAGATACTGCTATATTGTGTACACATGCAACAGCTATCTCCACCCATAGGCCATCAGGGCAGCCCGCGCAAGCGTGGTGGGCACACACAGGGTCATAGAAAGGTCGATGGGTGGTCGCCGTGCGGCCGGTAGGGCATGTTGGCCTTATTGACCTTGAAATGATGAGTCACCAAGCTGGCTAAACCAATCTATATTCAGTATGACAAAATCGTCTATAAGAATCATCTATGTAGACCTTAGGTGCCATCCGCAACTGACCGTCATGATTTTTTTTGGGGGGGGGATGATGATGAACCATCCCCGGCAAAGATCTGAAAATTTTATGACATACTACTCCGGGGATGTAAATAGAGGATTCGTTTTTTTTTTTTTTGGTGCTGTGATTGGCCGGGTTTCAACTCGAATTCCGTTTTTTACCAGGGGAATTCGAAAAACGCAAAACCCCGGGGATGGTCCCGAACAATCCTCGCTTTTCAATAGTGGTCAGATCGATCTGAAAAAATCAGGTCAGGGTAATTTTGGGGTGGGGATTACGAATCCGTGGTCGTTTTTGTTTGATTCAATTTTGGTCGTGAGCTACAGCCATATGTTTGGCGGCATCACCTCGCTTTGAAGAAAATTAAATTATTTCAAGTGTTGTTCACATCTTCTCGGGTACCCTCCGCCCCCCACAGCCCCAAGTTGTACCTCAAACGGGCTTTGAACCCCACCTACTGCTCCACAAGCAAATACAAGAAGCACATCACTTAAAAACCAGCCCATCTCCCGAAACGGGCAAAAATATTGGGCTCTTCCTTCCCACCAAGCTCTTCCCAAATCTTTGACGCAGCAGCAGATTCGCATTCCTGCCATTGTGTCCCAGTAATTCTCTTCATCTTGCATTCCTTCTTCCTACTCCCGAACTGGATTCCTCGGGAGTTATCTTCGTCTACGGGCGCTACTCCAGTGTCCATGATCACCGTTTCCTTCACTTCGCCCTCCTGCAAGGCGGGAACGAGACGTGGGTACTTCTTGTTGACGTAGCACTGCTCATACTCGAAACGCTGGCACGCCGAGCAGAAGCACGACGCCAACCGAGTCCTGAGCCTGTACGTCCGTTTCACCTTTCTGCAAGTCACGCCTTCCTCCCCCGACACCAGAACCTGCAACCCAGCTCCCTTGCCCTTCCATCTGCTCGCTACTGCACCCGACACATTGACTTCCCGCAACCTGCTCTTCTCTTGACTCGACAAGCTACCCCGCCTCTCGCTCTTTCGTACCAGCTTGCGGTCATCTTCGAGTCCCTCGGTCGTGGTGGACCCATCCCACTTGGGATTGTTTGCTCCCGCGAAGTGGTACATGTCTAGTGTACCCTCCAGGCCTGCCAGGACCGAATTTGGCCGAGATATCTCCTTGTTGCCAATAAACTCGACGTGCACCCTCCGCATGCGGTACGGAGACCACTTCGCGAAATACTTCCGCATACCCTCCTCCCCCTCGCTGCCTGCCTTCTCCCGAAAGAAGCATCGCCAAAAGCTGACCACCCCGTCCGCCCCCATGATTCGCTTGCCAAATCTCTCCCTCCTCTTCATGGCGTTCTTTGCCACTCCGCCGATCCCATCATGGCAACCTTTGAAGTGAGATGTGGCCGCGAAGTGTTGGTCGATGAAGAAGCCGATTTGCCGCACGCTGTCGGCCAAGAAGCGGAAATTCCGCCTTCCCTTGTACTGCTTCCCGCATCCATCCGTGAGCATGTGAATCCGGGGCGTCCGGCCTTCTTTCCGGGAGGAAGCTGTTGCTCCGCTCCCATCTGCACGCAGGTAGTAGTCCGCCATCCTGGCCAAGCCGTGCAGGTGGAAATCGCAGTCATGCGCCATGTCTTCAGATGCAAAGATCCATGTTTCCGTCACGTGCACCCTGCCACCCCCCACGTGCGTCTGCGGGTTGAAGTGTACGATGGCCACCATGAGTGTTGTCTGCGGGTACACCGGCATCATCATGTTGATGAAGGATTGGTGGGTGTACTTCTCGGCAAAGTCGCTCTCGATGACAAGGTCCCCGTCCTGGAACGTCTCCAAGCAACTCCCGTGGCAGTGCCTTTGCCACTTGGCGATAGAGTGGTGAGCCATGTACAGCTTGGTGTGCTCTTTGAAAGCCGGTCAAAGATCGCAGAGCTTACCCTCCTTCGGCACGGTCTGGTTGGCGAGTTTCTTGGCGTTGATCTTCCCATCTGCTGATGCAGGCGCAGATNGACAAGGTCCCCGTCCTGGAACGTCTCCAAGCAACTCCCGTGGCAGTGCCTTTGCCACTTGGCGATAGAGTGGTGAGCCATGTACAGCTTGGTGTGCTCTTTGAAAGCCGGTCAAAGATCGCAGAGCTTACCCTCCTTCGGCACGGTCTGGTTGGCGAGTTTCTTGGCGTTGATCTTCCCATCTGCTGATGCAGGCGCAGATATCACGTCCTCGAACATCTTCCACACCACCGTCTGCTCGGAGTTCTCTAGCTTGCTGCAGATGGGATAGGGTCAGCCCTCCCGAACCCACACTTCGAACAATCCTAAGCGTTGCACTCCGGTTTCCGCCCCATCCAACCGTTAACTTGCGGGTCCGCTGCCCGCAAGTTGACCGAGGAAGGCAATCGCATCGGAGAACGTGCCCATGTTGTATATGTCCGCGACTTGGAAGGGAGAGACTGAATATCGCTTGTATTAGAAACGCAGAAGCAAGAGAAGAGAAGAAGAAGAGTGCTTCCGGACAACAGAGAAGCAGGGGTCACAAACACAAGAACCCCAAAATGGTATGTCTACGTTCCTTTCTGCGAATATATCCGTTACTGCGGTCGATCAATACCTG